CTAAACTGTATAACCACATTTTACAATTTAATTTAGAAACTACAAGCCCGAATGCTCTAAAATTTTGCAAATGTTTTAAGGTTATCGTAAGCATGCCAAATTGTTAATCAAGATCTATCTATTGATCCTCCGGAAAAACTTGATGACATCACCTCAAAATTTTGTTGCATAAATCCTACCTAAAATGTGCAAAATACAATCTATACTTGTGGTTTATCAGTGAATACTGTTATTATTGCGCGTTTCTTCTTCAGTTCTCTGTGCTCGGTTTGAGAGTTACCAACACAATTATTTTAAAAATAAATTGCATGGCCTACTAGAGAAGCTTTTTTTTCCATCATATGGTATTACACTGCATCTCTCCATTGATATGTGTCTTTGCTAAAGAAGTGATAACGTCATTATGAAATTTTGGCATGAAAAAACCCATGTCTTTATCTGCAGTTTAATAGCCTAATCATACATTTATTTTAACTTATAGGGGTTATCATAACAAAATAATTTTATAATTTATCTAAGAAACTGGATTTCTTTTAATGTATTTCAGGGGCGTAGGAAAAAATAGCTTAGACCAACTTTTTTAATATAATAAATAAAAAAAATATATGTTTTAACAGTTTTAAAGAAGTATCTGGCTCATTAGTTCATATATTGAATAATTTAAATTCGAGCAGAGAAAACTTACTAGTGGTTAGTGCACAATACAACAGGTTTAGCGATCTTAATAATTCTAAAATACACCTACATTTTGACAATAATCTGTTCAGTTTACTTGTTTAATAATATCATCAACACAAACGACTCACAAAAAGAAACTTTTTGTTCATATTCTAGGGGCTACGAAATTACCCAATCGTCAAATATAGCCTATTGTTATGCGCTCGTAGGTTACGGAAGTGTTGTAGTAGTTACACTGTTTTCTCTGTAAATGTCATAATATCAACAGGGTTAGAATGTATGGTGTACTGCTTAACACTTTGCGAAAAGTCCTGGGTTTGGTCTTCAACATCTTCATTTTTTTTAAATATTATTTCATAAAGAAGGTGCACCTATCCATCTAATTTCTTCGAAATTGTTAGACAGGTTAAGGGTGAGTGTATTATATTATAACTGTTAAAATAAATGTGTTTATCCTTACCAAAAATTACTTCAAAAGTTCAAAAGCTTGTCAAAATCTTGGGCCTAGAAGGCTCAAAAGGTGTTACATAATTCGGCACTGCTACGGTTTATTGATTCGCCAGACGAACCTTTGCGGTTGCAAATGGTCTTTTTAGTTCAATAATTTGAAAAGCATTCTGCCTACTCAGCAAAATAATTTTAAGAAATCCAACTTTCCACTTATGTATCATATGTTATCTAATGCTGATTGGACCTCTGTATATTTAGCAACAGATGTCGAAAACGCCTGAAATGCTTTCTACAGTATACTTGATGAAATTATTGCAACAACAACTCCAAAGTTTCGCAGATATTCGTCCCAAAAAGCGGCTTATCCCGTTTGGTACAGTAGTGAAGTTAGACATTGCCTGAAATTAAAGTTTATTGCTCATAAAAATTACAAAGACTGTCCTTCCGAGCATCATTACGAAATATTTAAACAATACCGTACAATGAGCAAGAATCTTATTGAGCAATCTTACAAAAATTATGTATTAGAGGTAGAAAATTCTGTCAGTACTAATCCTAAAAAATTTTGGTCTATTCTGCAGAACAAAAAAAACAAGACTAGAATACCAAGTGAACTAAGCTACAAGAATGTTAAAGTATCAACTCCTACCACAATAGTTGATGCTTTTTGTGATTACTTTTGTAGTACATTTATTAATTCAAACATTAGTTGTAAACATACGCAGATGATACAAAATGTATCAAACGATTATGTTAATGTAAAGTATATAAGTGAGGAGGAAATACTAAATACTTTAAAAAGGACTAAAAATAACTTAACAGCAGGTCCAGATGAAATTCCAAATTTTCTTTTAAAAGATTGTGCTGCAATATTTGCAAAACCATTGCATTCCATATTTAATCTAATTATAAAAACATCTCATTTTCCCTCTGTTTGGAAACAAGCTTGTATTACACCTGTATTTAAGAAGGATAATCCAGCCAAGATTGAAAACTATCGTCCAATAGCATTACTATGCAATTTCTCAAAAGTTTTTGAATCAACCATTTATAAACAAATATATTCTACACTGAAACATTCAATATCACCATATCAACACGGTTTTGTAGAAAAACGATCCACCATTACCAACTTAGCCTACTTTACGCAATATGTCTCTGAAGCTATAGATGGAAAAAGTCAAGTTGATGTGATATTTACGGATTTCACTAAAGCATTTGATACAATAGATCATTTCATATTATTACATAAACTAAAATTAATTGGCTTTTCTGAATCACTAATACTTTTGTTAAAATCTTATCTTCGCGGAAGAATAAATTGTGTCAGATATAGAAATTATACCTCTCAAACTTTTACCCCTAATTCAGGCGTACCACAAGGCTCCAACTTAGGTCCGCTTCTTTTTCTATTGTTTATAAATGACTTACCAAATGAGATCTTCAGTGAAAAGTTATTATTCGCAGATGACTTTAAAATATTCCACAGGATAGACAGTCTAAATGATTGTCTACTACTACAAAACAATTTACGTAATTTATATAAATGGTGCACCCTAAATTGTCTAGCTTTAAACTTAGATAAATGCAAAGTTATGTCATTTTCAAATAAGAAAAAATTTATTGAATTTTCATACAATATAAATGGCACTAACTTGACACGAACTACTGAGTTTAAAGACTTAGGTATTTTGTTTGATGAAAAACTCACTTTTGTCAATCACGTGAATGACATTGTCAGAAAAGCATTTGTAAACTATGGCTTTATATACAGAAATTGTAGAGATTTTACGAACGTGAAATCCCTTATTACTTTATATTGTAGTCTTGTAAGGTCAAAATTAGAGTACGGTAGTCTTATTTGGTTCCCTATTTATGAGACTCATAGTTGGCATATCGAGTCTGTTCAAAGAAAATTTTTAAAATTCGTAAGTTTTCTCCTTGACGGTAGATATCCTGAAAGAGGCTGTGACCATCATATGTTACTAAGAAGATTTAATGTGAATTTATTATCAACTAGAAGAATTATTTTAAGCCTTCACTTTTTATACAAACTAGTTAATAACATCATTGATAGCTCTCTGCTTTTATCAAAATTAAACTTTGCGGTACCTAGACATAATTCCCGCCAACATATTACATTTTACCCCAAAATAGGCCGAACAAATGTATCAAACAATTCACCGGTAAGTGTTATGTGTGAGCATTTTAATCAAATAGCTAATGAATGTGATCTTTATTTTACACCATTTAAAGAGATTTCTGATTATGTTATTAAGTATTTAGAATAAGCCTAATTTTTAGTATTATTATTGTCTTTAATTTCACGCCGTTTGCCTTAATCTTAAGTATTGTATATTTTCCTGTAATTGGGTGTAACCTGTAGGGAAATAAACTATTATTATTATTATTATTATTATTATTATTAAAAAAAGATTGAAAATAGTCAATATAGATCTATATTTTGTTATATTTAAACCCACCACTGACCCGGAATTGACCGTAATATCTAATATAAATATTATTCTTTATATTGTGTCTCTTGTATTTTTAATCATCAAATTTATGAAATTTACAGATAGATACTGTACTTGTATTTTAAAAATCATAAACTTTCTAATTCTGCTGCAGTGAAATTTCATATACCTAAATCAAGAAACTGTAGGAAGTTGTTATGCGTAAAATAATGCTGGATACTTGTTGGGAATGGCCTTTGACATTTTCATAATTATGTCTTTATTTCAGGTTCTTAAATAAATATCATAAATAATGTAAAATTAATTCAGGTCTTTAAATTGTCAGTTCGGTTAGGCAATTTATATAGACGAAAATTACAATATTATATATTTTTGTGTGAGGTACATATGCATATAGTTATTTCGATTAATTTTTGGAAAGATCAGTTTTGCTTTTGATTTTAACCTACATAATTTCAAAGTTGTTAGACTTTCACGTATTTATCACAAATGAAGGTTAAATCTATCAATAATTTTAATGTAGAACATTCTGCCATAAATTTCATAAATGCAGTAACATGCATGTTGCCGTTTTTGAATTTTTTATTTTAACAGTGATTTACAATACAGTAAGTAATTTGTTCTTAATTTATTTGTTATATATTCACGTAATAGTCTAATAGTTTCATTTAATTGTTAAAATATATACAGTTGTATATCCGTATGCCTAAATCGCTTTGCCTAACGTTAAATATTATTAATTTTTGATGTGTTAAATACAATACAAAGGAACCTATTTCGTTTAATAAACAATAAGAATAAGTCACACAGAAGTTGTTATCCATACTAATTATTTTCATCCTTGTACTTACTGAATATAGCCGCGTATTATTTGTGTAGGTGATAACATGTTATGTTTGGTGTTTAGAATAAACATATGTATATTCACACATGTAACCTAAGATCACCTGCTAATATATGCTCATTGTAACAAAAGTTTACCTTGTATAATTATTTAAGATTTTGAAGTAAGGGAACACTTTTGTTAATGACAGGAGAAATAATTGATAATAATTGATAAGTATATAATTTTTTCAAGGATAACTATGTTCATATGTCTAAAATTTAGTGCAGCAGGACTAAAAGAAAAAGAAATAAAATAAGACGACAAATTTTATTCATTTCAATGCTTACAAAAATTACTAACAAAAAATGCTTTAAGTTAAAAAACCCTTTTATTAAGTTCTTGGTTTTAGTGTTTAAATTTTATACTTTTCATTTAGTAGCTATCTGAATTTTTAATCGTGAGTCTTTCATGATGAAGAAAATCAAAATCATCTTTTACAACTGCGTGCTTTATCTGCTAATGAAAAATATCAGCAGATGTTTGTATAAGAACGAACATAATGAACCTACCTATTATTAATCCGTGACAGATGGGGAGTAAGTGGAATGTGCGAAGCACAAAAATGAAACTTTTTACCAATTATCCACTTACATATGACGTTTACATCTTTTATAAAATGACTGTATGTATATTAAAAACACTGTATCGTCCATGTTCTTGTTATAGTTTTCACTGTCACTTTTAAATTATACACAGCTCCAAAAAAGTACATGCATAACAAGAACACCTTTTACGTGTCTCTGACAAAGTAAACTTGGATGGCGTTTCTGAGGTTAAACAGTAGATCGTGTGGGGAAAGCGGTACATTACGTCATCCTGAAGGCTGTCAAGTGAATCTTAACTAGTTTGTATTTTAGCAGATGGTACAGTGAGAAATCTATTGTTTTTTGTTAAAAATGTTATTGTTCGTAAGCTACTGATTTAAAAAATCTTCTATGTGCACTTTTTGTAGTGCAATCAGATAATGTTGTTCTAGTTTACGGTCTTAACAATGCGAAGAGAATTTAACGCTGCGTTGCGAAAGAAACACTGTTACCTACTTGAGCAAGATTCTTTTTTCTGCACTTTTTTAAATTTGCATATAAATACAATGTTTATTATTTTTATTAACCTAGTTGCTGAATAATTGTGTGACAAATAAAAAAAAAAATAATGAATTTATTGCAACTAAAGCATACCTATCATTTTGTAGTCAGGAATTATTAAATATGCATGGAATGCAATAATTAATTAAAACTTTACATAGGTTCATGAAAGATAAAAAAAATATCTGAGTTGACATACACAGTTTCAAAATAAGACGAATTATTTTCAATAAATTAATTTTACTAACATAATTTTTCTAAACACTTCAAAATTTTATGACCATGGAGGAAAGAATATATTCGTTCGTTCATGATTAAAACAAATTAATCTTCATTAATATTGCTACTATATGCAAGATTTACATAAAGTATTTAATAAGTATCGAGTTTGGCTTACGATTATTTTATATTTCACATCAACATGTTGTGCAATAGGTTTATGTGATATTTTGGTATCATTCTAAAACTACTCCTATCTAAAATATATTGATTTATATCGTTATGAATCTGAGTCATTATAAAGACTAAATTACATTATATGATTGTTTGATGAATCAGTTAAACACAATAAAAATGATGCAGTGTTAGTTTCGCGGTAAAATCAAATTTATGGGCGGTTTTGTGCATGCGCCGGTAAACGGTACTCCTTGAAGTACCACTCCTGTTGATTATCCTTTTATACTTTGCTTGGTATGGGCAAAACTAATTTGCAAATTTTTGCCCTTTCAGGAAGAAATAATTTTGAAAACTGAGAAAATGAGCAAAATAATATGTAAAGTGGTAATAAAAAGTCTATAAAGCTTGATAGTAATTTTGTTGAAGAAAGTACTGAAGACTTAATATAACAAGTAAGTTTAGAAATTGTCGAGAAATGAAAAAGATAATTCTAGACATAATAAGAAGTTTTTTTGTATTTTCCAACGTAGATTTAGCTTTGACTTGAAAGATATTACATACAGTATAATGGTGAAATTTAAATAGGTATGTGTTGCAAAGTAAGAAAGTAGGTAAACAACATTTTCTCGAAATTTTGGGAATACAGGACTGTTATTATTAGGTAGTATAACACTAGACTTATCTAAACTAATGTATGTGTCCTTCTAAAATATTGATGACATCATCGCAAAATTTTATTAGAAAAACAAACTTTGTAAAATACGAATAGCATTGTTCTCCACCTGTAGTTCAACATTTTACACATATTTTTATTTTAACTATTGCTAAAAAAAAATCACAAAATCGAATTTTGTGTATAAAAAATTGGATTTGTTTCATTGTGCGTCAGGGACCACGGACCAGGGAAATTCTGTTTAATATTGTGTGATTTTTTTTAGAGTTTTTTAAAGTCACTTACTTTTATAGATCATTTTAATCTCCACCCTTCTTACTTCCCCCGTTATGTGAAGGCTAACAGATTTAAAGTTCCATACTTTATGTTGTATTTATTCTCCGGGCGCATAGTAGAGAATTACGGTATTAGTCCATTTGGCAAATGGTTAATTTCATGTTTTTCTTGACGTTGCATAGCACCTTAAAATATCAAAAAGTAGGTCGCCTGTATTCGTCTGTTTGTTGTGCATTGGCAGTTTTATTATACAGATAATCTTAAAAAAACTACTGGATCATATTGTTAAGAAATTTTACATTTGAATTTAAATTTTTTAAGAACATCCTGTAAATATGTTGCAAAACGTTAAACAGAACTTCTGTGATTATTTTCACAAAAAATTTGACGACATTATATTACAATAATTCTTTTTAAAATGTGCATAATGTAATATGATTCTGTAAAGTAGATTAAAATTTTTAAATGTACTTTACAGTAAATAATTTATTAAAACTTAAAAAAGTTAGAAAAGTTGTTATGGTGAAAATAAGTGGAAATTTTTCTGTAAGGTTAATGACTTAAAATTAAAACAAATTACTAAAACAAGAATATAATATAATTCCCAAGGTGTCTTACTCACGAAGTATTATGTGTTGCAGATATCTAATGGTTATATTTTTCATACATATGCAATAATAAAATGCCTTTTTTAAACATTGGACAAATACTGCCCCCTTTTAACTCTTCTGGGAAGACTCCCTCCTCAAAAGGTTGGTTAATTAATAATGATCGTGGTTTGGCTAATACATGCGCTACTTTACTCAACAACGAGTAATATGGTACACCTTCACTACCTGCTGAGTTTTTTTTACATACAGACCTTATGATATCAATGATATCATACATCTGATCATCATTAACCGGCATTAAAAACATAATTCTTACTTACACTTAACGGAATATTCTTAACCGGTTTAGCAATATTAACCGAGGATAAATTTATCAGATCTTCAACTGTTTTGAAAAAGAAGTTATTAAAAACATTTGCAGTACTTACAGGATCCTTCAGTTTTATGCCGTCAATATCCTTAAGGTTTTTGCTACATGTTTTAATTTTACTTATGTTAGTTTCCTCATGTAAAATTTTCCATGCAAGATATGATTTATTTGGAGCATTTATGAGTCTACTGCCATTAAAATTTCGTTTTGCTAGATTAATTGCAACATTATAATTTTGCTTTCGTAGTTCGAATTGTTCCCGAGCAACAATATTGCCCGTTTCTTTCCAACGTTTATCAAGATCCCTGAGTTTATGGCTTCCTCATAAAGTTCAGGGGTCATCCATAATTTTGAACATATGCTTTTTGTTACTAGCTTACGCTTAACAGGATAGATATAATTGAAAATATCTAGAAATGATGTGTTATAAAACAAAGTAAAATTGTTGGAAAACTTACCCATTAGCCCATTACTATGGTAAGTACTCTAGTTTATTGAGAGTAACATATCAGTGAAAATTTTTAAATTAACTTGGGAAAATTCACGCTTATAGACATAGTCATTGCTTTTGGTATATTGTGCATTTATGTACGAAACTATTTGGGCAGGATCCTCTGAGATAAATGTGTATACGACCGCAGTGTCTAAATTTTCATTCATATTCAAGAATATTGTAACGTTGAACGGGTGTTTAAAAATCGGCGTGGGTTAAACTCAACAATTTATTCCTTAATGACTTGGATTTATACGACTAATTACAGAGCGATTATGTACAAAATAATTCTGGCGCAATATTCACTGGGTTTTCTCGACGCTCGTTGGACTCGACTTGTTAACTGCTCGCGACGGTGGTTTCCATTTAAACAGCACGCGGTCCTTCTCGAAACCCTATGTCACCGCTTCTAGACTTTTATGCTCGAACACCCGTCGAGACATCCGCTGCCAGGTTCTTCTCCGCACGCCGTCACTGACAATGAGTCATCGTCGCCGTATATACTAGAACCCATAGGCGTCGTACCGGGGCGGCGTATGGGTTGATTTCGTAACAATATATTTGCTGTTTCCTTTTACTCTTGTATATTCAAAAATAGACTGCTTTAAGCCAAAACTATTTATAATATTGCGAACTTCTTCATAGTGTCTTTTCTTTTCCTTGAAATAAAAATTAAAATCACCACAACACACAAGTGGATCTTTGTAATTTTCAAAATTATGCATTACAAAAGTCTGGACATAAATTCGTCAGGATCACCATTTAGAAATCTGTAAAGACAAATAACAAGAATTTTAAATTTCGATAACAGGAGATTATAAGACATGAATGGCGAATACAGGGACATATATTTGATAATATTATTCTGCGTGAGGAGATCAGTAATTTACGAATTTTAATATCCTTAGTACTGATTGCAAAGTATGACGGTATGAAACATTCTTAAACGACGGCTTGATCCTTATTTGGATTATCTCCGTTCATGCTAATTTTATCGGTCATTTTGGTTCCAACAAAGTGCTATAATTACACCTTGCTCCAAATCTGAATCTGGCGCTGGCGAAGTGCAGCGAAAAGCCTTACTCGCTTGTCTCACAAAAAGAAGGTATGGTTATTAGTCGGTAAAGAAATAAAGATATTAATAAGTAATAACAGTTTGTTGTTTTCAAGGCTAAGAAGAAAAATTCGTAAATTAAATTGATCTAAATGGCATACTTCGGTGGTCCCGAAAAAGGCAAAAAGGGTTCTACTTTGAAGCATGGTACAAGAAAACATGTCTTTTTTAATTTTTTATGTGATACAAAGTGAAATTTAATTGTCAATAGTCTAAGAAGGAGATAACTTCAGATTCTTGGAGGCGGTCAACAGACAAATAAACAAATTCTCCAAAACTTTAAACAATTGCTTCCATGATTTCTTCCGAATATACAGATGGAGATAAATGGGAACACAGTATTTGGCCAGCAAAGTTCGATATAGAATATAGATAAAGTATTGCTAATAACAAGGGCTTTAAGAAATTGATAAAATAAAAAGTTCACATATAAGCATAAAAGCATTTTATTACGAAACTTAAATATCAACAATACTACAAATGTTTTTATTCTTTACTTAGTCTTTTTTCTTTTAATATATTGTTTTGTCAACAACACTCATGCTGTCGAAGATGTATTTTAAATATCTGAATTTATACGGTTCCTCTTTTTTAACACTGGTCATAAAGACTTTGGCTCGTGTTAATGAGTTTTCTAGCAGGTATTTTGAAGTAAAATTTTGTAAAACATTAGACTAGTATTTTATAAATCAATTTCAGTTAATTTTATCGCACTGAACAAAATAATTATGGAATTATAACAAACTTTAGTTTACTCCATGCAAATAAAAACTAGGTAAAACTGCATATTTGGTCGCGCGATCCTGGACTGAATGAATTTATTTTTGTTGTAATTTCGTAATTAGTTTGTTCTGTGTAATAAAATGAACTCAGATTGTTTTATGAAATACTTGTCAAATTTCACTTGAAAGTCCCTGCTAGAAAATTCATTAATACGACCCAAAGTATTTGGGATATAAATTCCTATGGCCAACGTTGAAAATAGGCACCGTCTAATATGAGCTTGCTGATTTTAGTTTAAAGATAATATACTAACATAGTTACTTAATACGATTATTGATTATCGTTCTACTAAAAATAATTAAAAATTGAGATCATTAATTTCTATAAAAATATATACATATTGTCTATATGTAGATACATACCTATATACTAATACAGAATCATTGGTATTTGCTAAGTATAACATTCTACAAAATATGTCACTTTTTCTGTCAGTCATATAAAATACATCTTGGTTAATTTTCTTAAGAGTAAACTTTTAATAATAAATAAAATATATGTATACGCTTACATTTAAATTACAAAATGCTTTTTACATGTCTGAAGGTGATAGCAGCAACATGAGCAAGGTGTAAATACATCAAGATCGTGTACACAGAACTACTATTTCTACCAAGATATTAACAGTAAAAAATCATGATGATACTAACTAAAATGTTTCATTTTAATTAACAGAATAGACACATTTTATACCATTATTATATCTGATCAATTGACCATCCATTTCTAAACGTTTATATATTAAATTGTACAAATAAAGCTTTTTTCAGAATCATTTCAACAGTTTCAACAGTAACATTTCTTAAAATTAAATGCCTATGAATTTACGTATATAAGTTGAGAACAGCAGCCCTTTTAAGCCATTCCGACATTATTAAAAATGTTTATAGTCATTGATCAATTTTCTACAGATTTACAAAACTTATGAATTCAATTTTTTTTTTTTGTTAAAGTCCCTGGAGAATATTTTTTGACTGGATGTACAGCATCATATCATTGCTAAGTAAAACTCACCTTTAAATAAGTATTATCTGTTCCGACTATGTTGATGCAGGGGGTGTGTTGGAAAAAGCTGAATTGCACAAAGAATTGCACAAATTCCGACATGGTGGAATATAGAAAAGCAACTAACTATTCGAAAAAAGATTAGTGGATTTGTGGCTAAGAAGAGTCGTCGTGGAAGTCGAACAAGTATGTAGTTGTAGCAAAGTATTAATTACATGGTTAGAACTATAATAAACTATAAGTAGCGGTGTTATGATAAAAGTTGTCAAAATTTTAGAAATTTCAGCCATAATTGAATAGGACCCATGCCAAAAACCTTTATTAATAGTAACACAGTATCAGAAATAGAATCTAACGTACTAGTGGGACTGGAAAACGTGGGATCAGAAACGACGTATTAATGATGTCATGGATTAGAAAGGTTGCAGAAGAATAAAAGAAGTGGAAGAAATTCAACGTGAGTGAAGAATTGTGGGTAAGACGTTAATTAAGTTGTCTTACAATTCTGGTTTAAGGTGAGAAAAGGATCAGCTGAAGTTAACGGATGTTACTCTATTTGACGACATTCGAAGAAAATTCTATACGAATTCTATTTGAAACCGAGATGGAACAGAAGAATTCTATTTACATTATGTGAACAGAGTTTGAGAAAGACGTTCAATGACAAAGTTTTTTGAAGATTTTGGGATCTTTCACTGAGAGGGAACACTACCTGATGCGGAACGTGTGAGTAAAAAACGGAATCTATACAAGTTTAGATTTTTCAAATAAAAGTTATATTCTAGAAGCATTGCATCCTAGAACTGGCATACTTGAAATCGTAATCAATAGATTTGAGAAGACAGATAAAGAAGAACAAGGCAATTTATGCTTGCGAAGTAAAAGAGACTCAAGAAAAAAATGAAGAACGAAACAAAGCAGAAGAAAAATAATAATAAAAGAAAATAGAGGGACCGTCAACAGAAATTGGAATTTTGACAAAGCAAACTGTATTAGATCTGCTCTTTACTTGCTTAAAAAAGATATTTCTTGATTACATGGTTTATGATCAAGAATGGCTAATAAGCGGTATGTCCTGTGTTGAATAAATAAGACTTGAAACACACGCCATAATATTTATAGATCATAAGTATTTAAAATTGAATGGTATGGAACCTCAGAAACGAATGGCTGAAGACGAAATCAATATATAAAATTTATTGGCACGACGAGTGTGTTATTATCGTCGTTATAACGGAAAAATAAACACGGTAAACAAACATTAAACTTAATAAGTAATAACAGTCACTCAAAAATGCAACAAACAGAAACAAGTGATCTTAAATCCAGGACAAATATTTTTTCTTTTCATAATAAATGTTAGAGATTCAGACAGGGTGATTTTTTTAACCTGAAACTTTCAAAGTTTCAAAATTTAATCATTCTATAGGGGAAATACTTTGGTGCAAAAAACTAGTCCCCCTTGTAGTTGGGGCGGGGGGTAACTTTAAAATCTTAAATAGGAACCGCGAATTTTTATTGCAGAATCGGATTCTGCGGCTAAAAGTACGTACGGTCTGTTTAAAACTTTTTTAAGATTTATGACAGATGACGCTATAATAAACGAAATTAATTTTTTTCGATTTCTCCTATTGAAAATCTATGCATAGAATTCTACAATACGTTTGCAGTAAAAAATACCACGTTTTCATTATAGATAATCACAAATAAGTCGCCACATTATTATTGAGGGCCACTTGAAGGTGCCGACCGATTAGAAGTGCGACAGAACAAGTGGTTTCAATATGATAATTGTCCAGAACACTATTCAATGGTAGCACGTGAAATACTTGATCATGATTTCAATGGTCACTGGATCGGTAGAGCTGGTCCGATAAACTGGCCTGCCAGATTACCAGATCTTAGTTCGCCAGATTTCTTTTTGTGGGGCTATCTTAAAGCTAGAGTTTACAAACAAGAACCAACAACCCATGAGAATATGATTGAGCGAATCAGAAATGTTTGTGTCGAAATTCAAGCAGACACATTTCTCAGTGTACATTAAACATGTATTGAATTCGAAGGCCATCATTTTGAGCACTTACTTTAATAATTGAAAGATGATTATGAAACTTAGTAAGACAAATCTAAAAAAAAGTTTCAGACAAATCATACATACTTTTAGTTGTAGACTCTGATTCTGCAATAAAAAATAGGAGTTCCTATTTAATTTTAAGATTTCGAAGTTAACCCTTGCCCTACCTACAAGGAGAGGGGAAACGGGGCTAATTTTAGCACTAATGTATTTCTCCCTCAGCATGGCTAAATTTTGATTACGACATTGAGAATGCTTATTTTTCGAGATATTTGAAAGTTTCAGGTTAAAAAATCACCCTGCATAGGTACTCCGCGCTTGAAAAACTGCGTCAAAATATAACTTGACACAGTTTTTAGTGCATTTCTGATTTTCTAATTTTTGAATTATTAGTATTACGCATAGAGTGTCATGAGGTGCTACTTCAATATTTTTAAAGTCGAGTTTAATAAACAGTCCTATTTAATCACTCAAAATTCAATAAATTCAACTGTTGCTATTGTTTCCACAGACAAATATGCACTTGTTTTTCAGATGCTCCAGAATTGGCTGTTAATATGGGAACTAAAATACAATGTAAAAATTGTTAATAAAATAATATTATACGAGTATATGTAGTTCTAACCTCTAACGTGTTGCAACGTCATATAGACACATACAATGAAATTCTGCAGGTCTAAACTACGTATTATTGGTAAAGGAGGTATAAATAAGTGTTTTTAAGATTTTGGAAAACATTGTGCAGAATTCTCATATTTTTACGTGGATTTCTACTCCAATAATAAGCTTGAGATGTATATTTTTTATTTTAAAAATAATGATATTAGTGAACCTTTATGCGGTCAATGATAAAGGACGGAACACGGACGAATAGACTATTGAAACTGTTTTAAACTGTTCAACTAAATGACTACAAACTGCTTCACGATTAGACATGTGTATATGGTGTTATGTTTAAAAATACAACGGAAAAATTCGTAATAATTATAGGTACATAATATACGAATCTTACATACTATACGTATTAACGGCAACAAAAGTTATAAGTATTATAACAACAGCAAAAATATCACTCAAAAACACGTATTTGATGTCTGAGTGCTTCGTTATGCTTTTCAGTCTATAATTGTAGCAAAACTAGAAATGATAGCTGTAATATACTTACAAAACATAAACGTTCGTAAAAGAAACTCACATAAAATAAGATGCTACAATTTTCTCAAAATATCTAGTGTAAAAACTTATTTTATCAGGATATTTATATTTCATAACACGATGAATTTTGAATTTTATCCGGTTTCGGTGACCAATTGTAAGCAGCTATTTTTATGTTTTAGCCGAGAATCAGTTAGTTTTATATCTCCTTGCGGATTGTATTATTTAAACAAAAAAATAAAATATGTATGTATAGTCGTGGCTAGAAAATATTGAACATCAATGTCTTTCTACTGTCACACAGTGTGAAACATCTTTAAGTTTTGTAGCCCTATATTTTTGTTTTGTCTTTTTTGACACTGCAAGTATGTATGCTAACACTTCATGCAAGGGACAAATCTTTTAAGTTTAAACTTTAAAGTGACAGTAAGGCCTAGACTACATTAAAATTTTTGAAATGATAGAAAAATAATGTCTGAAACGATTTAGCCGCCACTGTATATACATACATATTTCATTTTGTAATATAATAGCCTTACCCTTAGCCACAAACTGTTACTAAAAACCTAATTGTCATCTTGGTACTAATTTTGATAGAAACATTTTTATTAAGAAAAAAAAAACTGTTATTACATCCACCCTTTGTACTATACATAAATATTGTTTAACAATAATTGATCTCTTCAATCCAGTTATGACTTCATATTGAAATACTTATAAATTTTTTTAACAGTAAGACAATAATTATGTTCTTGGTGACGTTTCTGAAGATTACGAGTATTTTTCTTGATAAATCATGCAATCCTTAATAACGTGTTTACTCGTTGCATTAGTCTGTTTTAATTTTTGTTTTGTTTTATGATTTATATTTCTGACAAAAATAAATTAATTGTCTAGCAATTTTAACAAAGTGTAATTAATATTATTAATATTGGCATAAATACAATAACATGTTTGCCTAGAAATGTTTACGTGTGTCTTACAAAAAGTAAGTCGCCTATAAATAAATTCAATTTTTGTTTTTTTTTTCAGATATTTTTTTGTTGAAAACCTGTGTTAGGTTTGTATCTGCCACAAAAAATGGATAAAATATGGATCACTGTAAGTACATCTCAATGGTTAAAGTCACAGAAAAAATCTCTAGTTTTTTCCTAGACTGTAAACTACTGTTCACGATGTACCTACTTTATTCGAATACATGATGGTATATTAAACCTTCAAGTTATGTTTCATCGCTGATACACGACATACAAACAAGCCACATAATCTTACTATAGTAATTAAATAAAATCCATCGTGATGATTTCAAGTAAAGATTCAAGTTATCTTGTTGATGCAGAAGTATAGAAACTAAAAATATGATTTTGTTATTGGTTTCATATTTTTAGTCACTACGCTAACAAAATATCAATAACTACGCATATAATTAAAATATTAACATAACTGAAGTGTTTACAGACAGTTCATTCTCATACTTATTTGATATGTTCATAAATATTGAATAATTTGTCCAGCTGTAAACGAAGATGTAGCTGTTTTAAAACATTAAAATAAATAATAATAAAAATCAAATTTCACATATTAATATTTTCACACTCCTTTACGTTACAATGTACTTAGAATTAACTACATTTATGTTTCGTTCTTCTACGTTGCTCCTTCTTGAAATTTGATTACCATCTCGCTTATGCAACTGTAACTTCCAGCCAGGAGTCCCACAACACCGAAAATGATTAACAATACATCCTTGATTAAAATCCACTGGAATCGTCCAAGATTATCCGGCCAATTCACGCAGATTTCCATGATGGCTGGAAAAGCCAAACCCAACGCAGACAGACAGAAAGCTCCAAACAGAGAAATGAAGAGGCCAAGCATGGGAATTGTTAAAGCTAAAATGACTGCAAAAATAATTATTTAGTGCAAAAACTGACAAGAGGTATCCTAGTTAAAAAAATATTTTCGAGCACAAACAAACATAGAATGTTTGGTACAATGGCGTTTTGACGTTGTGAAAAAAGTACCGAAAGTACACATTACTTATATATATCGTTCTGATTTGACACTTAAATGTTAGAGCTTCAAAATCTTGACAAATCAAGTGTAGGCAATTAACTGTTGCGAACCCACATCTGTGTCAAAATATAAGTTCACAAACATTGAGTTACTTAGTGTTTTCATAACTACAAAAAAGTTTAAAAGAGTTTAGAAGCGATTAAATATTTTGAAAAACATTGTCGATAATGAATTTTGCACTAGTTTTAAACAATTTTTAACTTCATAGTATGCGATTTTATCTAATATAATAGAGTATAATATAATAGGAGTATAATATGTAACGTTTGGCGTTATTCGTCTCGACAATAGAAATAGGGCTAGTTTTATAAAAAAAAAACAATATATTTAGATCAAATTTAGGACCATTGTGAAAATGATCCTATTCTGGTATCCCAACTTCAAATTTACAGATATTCATATTTACATATATATATGTGATATATTTTGAAAAATATTTGTTACTTTGATTTGGAAAATATATTTAAATTATATTTTATTTACTCATCAGCATTACTGATGAAAATGAATCAAAGTTTAAGACATTTTTATGTGATAACACTGAAGTTATAAAAAAAGTCTACTAAAAATTTTGCACGTCGTTAAAATTTTCCCAGTGCGCTCTAAATAGCAAAAAAGCTTAGCTGATACCGTGTATGTAAGTAATTCAAAACTACATCATTACCGAAGTCTATACTTACATGTGAGGATTACGCATACTAGACGTAAAATATATTCCCATAGAAGAAGACGATTGCTTCCTTCTAATCGCTTTAGCATATATGTATTCCATACGATTGCCACAGGAACATATCCTTGAAGCCCATACGATATGAAAATTGCAATTGAGTACAATATTAATATAGCTTGGGCCAAACTGTAAAACTATTGGTGAAAGTTTAATTCAAAATGTTGGCGAAATCCTTACGCTTCATTTCCTGGAAAATTTAAAGTAATGCTAGGTTCCACTGCTTCACCATATTTCCAGTATCCAATGAATCCCATTCCAACGTAAAGAACAACCACAAATGCCATGCCAACATTCAGTACTCCAAAATAACCTCCAAAACTTTTAGGTGTCTTCATGTTGTTTTCTAAAGCAATTACCTGTAAAATAAATTAAGAAAAATTGTCCTGCCATTGTTTACAAAGCAATAAAAATAGTAAAAAATAAACTCGCACATTTAGGACCAAATAAGTGATAAAAGTTGTATGTAAGTGATAAAAGCTGTATATAAGTGTATATATTAGTAATTTTATTAATGCTTGTCCAACTAAACTAAAGAAATATTAGAATTAGCATACTAACCACTCCAACAGCTTCTAAAGCGAACAATGTGGTTCCAAAAAAGAGTGGATACGTATATAATCTTCCAAAGGCTGGTCTGTCATCAATATCCGGCAGGTTTTGGAAAACATAATAACACACTACACCAAAGGAAGCAAATGTGATAATATTCGCTAGAGTTGAAAAAGGAGCTAAGAGTTTCAGATTACGTACGCAGTTTATGAGAACGAATGGGATGAACGCAGCTAATATGTAGTACTCTAGTCTTAGTGGTTCACTCGTGTGTTGATCACCTACAGCTTTAATGTTAACTCCAACAAAAACTATGTATACACAGCATATTCCTAGCTGGTATGCAATCAAGAAAAAATCCACTAATAGCCTGGAAACCACATCCTTCTAATTTCAGCGTTATCTACTAAGTAGTTAAGTTCTTACGGTGAGTATTTAGCAAAAGGCCTAAGGCACAGCGGACCTGACTCTAGCGCTAACTTCATCGATTCTGGATAGCTGAGTATTGGAACTTTCAATCGTTTGCATAATACGTATTGAGCTTGAACCTACAAAAATAATATTGCAACAATGAAAAAGCAACAGATAACACATGAACATTAATTGTTACAGTAGTGTATTATATTTAACATTTTAACCTTACTAGAACGTGTAGGCAATATGTACAGAGAACACCAATAATCACGGTAGAAACTAAACCGTTGAAGATCCCTGAATTCTTAAAAGCTTCAGGCATGGCCAAAATTCCAGTGCCTAAACAACCCTTGAGCAAGTGTATGAGAGTTTCAACATTACTGAAAGTTTATAAATTAATTATGCTAGGCAAGTAAATAATAATAAACATACGTGGTGGGATTTTCCACCTCTCTGTGGAGATGGGGATCGTAATCTTCGTTTGAACCTGGCGAATTTCCATTTCCTCCTGTTTCGCCATCCGTATATCTACAAAAAAACGTTCACCTTTTGAAGCGCCTAGTATTTTTAGTCGCACGTGACACAATTTCACACAAAAGCATTGTTAATCCGTATACATACATTTCAACAGCTTTTTTTTTAATATATATATTCAAAAATCAGTAATATTGTATAACTCTTAACTACTACTTACTTATTACTGGGACTTAATGGTTTTAATTTCACTGATTCATTTGCCATTTTTCACTTAACGTTTATAAATGAGTATCCAATTTATTTAACAGTATAGTGCTTGATGGACTTAGTGGCGTTTAAACTATCACCATTTTCGCAGGAAAAGATCTAAAAAAGAATAATAATTTCAAAGAGCGTTTAAGATAAATTCCACAGATTTCAAACGTTAACATCATAAATTGAATAATTAGGAAGTTGTTCCTACACACAGGGGAATTAAAATTAATAAAACTGTGACACTACTTGTTCAATTTTCATGATATATGATCATTTAATTGTAGATTTATTTATAGCTGAAGGCATTAACGAGGAAATTTTGTTTTAGTTGTATTAAGAAATATTATTTAATGTAAAAGCTAGCAGTGAATAATAATAATTTTCTATATTACCAGATAGTTTCAGATAAATTATTATTAAATATTAAGATAAACTTACCTAACAGCCAATAATGATAACACTGCTACCTTATTCAATATCGCTCTTATATATTATTATTATTATTATTATTATTAATCCAAGATGTAGAGAGAATGTTAACGTATCGCGACCCTCCGAAAGACTGACCGATGCCGCGTTAACCGATACGATTCGGACTGTATGCCCAGCCAAATTGTTTTAATTAAAAAGTTTTGTCGTCTCTCCTTATTCATGACTGGATTTTGTCACTGCTTCATTGCGAACTTACTGCCCGATGCATTTTGGTGTTTGATCTTATTTTTTTTATGCACTTCTATTTCGAATTCAACTCCTACGCTGTATTTGGATTTTTTAGGTCAAAGAACTTCATGATAAAATTTATACATTGATAAAATTGTTGATGAATTCGTAAATTTTAAAATAAGTAAAAGCTGTTGGTAACGGAAAATCTTTTTTGAAACTACGGCTTATTATAGGAAATTAGCCACCTGCTGCAAAGGTCAAGGACATTTATTTCCAAGGACTTTGTTTGCTGGCTGCACGATCAGTTGCCAAAAGGTTGCAAATTTTAGTTGCAGATTTTATTGATACTATTTCAAGAAGTACTAAAAGCATTAAGACATGCAGTACATATCTCAAATATATGATGAGAATCTAAATACTTAGATTATAATTCATAGTTAATAATAATTAATTTATATTTATTTATTGGAAAATAATACTAGCTGTGAACTTGTAAAATACGCAAATTAAAAAAAACAGTACTAGATTGTCCTATTGTTACAAATGAAGTAATTGAAAAATTAAGACTCAACTCACACACAGCTGCGTATGAATTCATATGTTATATTAAAAATGACTGACGTTTGTAGTGGAAAATTTATTTCCTAGAAAATTTCGAACCAATTGCCAACACTATGAAGGTAAAGTTCATCGAATATTTTTGAAATTTTTATTCTGCTTCACGGCTAACTTTACGCTAGACTTTGCTCTCGTTATTTTGACATGTTTACGTCAAAGATTTTACCCTAATGTTTACTTATACAGAAACTGTGCGCATTGCATAACCCCTTTAATTATCAGCATTCGAAAACAATTTAACCTTGTTCTATTTTTGATGAATTATTTATCTTCATTTGAAGTTAATTTGTTGAGGAACTTCCAGCTCCAATGAAACTCTCTGCACTTATCCAAATAAACAGATCAATATCAAAATTACGTCATTGTCTTTTTGATTCAAACGTGTAGGTAATGGTTTAGCAATGGTTGTCATCATGAAACAGAAATCAATCACTGACCGCCAGGAAAAAAAAGTTAGGTGTTCGTGTACGTATCTAATCAAATTTTTGCATATCAAAAAAGAATGAAGTGATCAGTTTATTTGAATTTCAAAATTTTCAATAATCTCAATAATATTACCTTTTTGTAAGTAGATTTTTATATTTTTCAAAACCTTTTGGGTTCTTTCATATACACCAAATTAAAAAATAAGATAATGATCTGTTTTTAGATTTCAGAATCAGCGTGTTCTCATCACTGGCTGCTAACAACACAAAATAATAGATTCCACAGTTTTCATAAAGATGTAAATATTATTATTATTTTTTTTTTTGCTGAATAAGTCCATTCAGAAATGATGCAAGAAAATGCAATAAAAAACACTAAAATGACAATTTGATGCTTACAATTCTTGGTGTTTCTTTAGTTAGGCAAAACTTAATTTTTTCATTATCATATTTTAAATAAACTTTGAACAGTATTTTTGTCTTGAATCTTATTAAATTTGCAAACCAGATAACAAGCAACTCACTGAAAGCTGAAATAAAGTTGCCTATAAAATCGACTGAGAATTATTTTAGTAAACGTTCTGTTACGTAAGTACATAACTTTCTTTCTTTTTTCTGTTGGTTCTAAATTAACAATTTTTCACTAAATCACAACAATTTAAACGGTACATTACGTAAATACGTTATTTTTATTGCACTTAAAAATACTTGTAACAATTTTAAACACTCGTTTTCATTTGTTAAATAGTTATGAGAATACTGTTCAATTGATAGGCGAATAACTTGATAAAATAACGTACTAATAGGCAATTAAAAAAAATGAAACATTAATTTTACAGATTGTCTTTATAAACGATGTATAAATAATAAGACTTTACTTATTATTTAATATAGGCATTTACCCATATGTACCTAACAAGAAATCATATTTTTATTTTAATGAAAGAGGATTTGAAAGACGATTTTCCGATTTTTAAGACGGTATGTTCCCCCACGAAATAAGTAGGTACTATCCATACAGCAAAAACTTTATTTTCCTAGTGTCTATTTTTTTTCTACATTTTGAAATAAACAAGTGAATTACAGTGGCCGAAATTCTCAGCCTTGATATTTTCGATAGCGTACTGATCACGCAGGTAATATATTTCCTATTTAGACTTTTTAATGATTACTTAGTTAAATGTGTACATATAGAGCTGCTGGTGAGTTATTTAAAAATAAATACACAAAAAATATGTCTTCTGAAAAAGTTTGAAAGAAGTTTTTTTTTTACAGTTTTTTTTTACAGTATTTTACAAATTTATGCACACAATTCTAAGTTATAAGTTATAAGTTATTGATATAATTTTGAATGTGTCAAAAGTAACGAAATTTGTAGTCAAAAAGCAGTTCATGTTCTAAATAAGAAGAGTAATACCACATGAACAAGAAAATTTTACATAAAGGAAGGCTGTAATTTTTTTACCAATAAACATTAGCTTTTTATTTGTCATGTCCTAAGTGCTCTCATCCCTTTATCTAAAATTTCTTGATCATACGATATAAACAGCTATTAAGAAAAGAAATACCGAGAGAGCAATAAAAATACGATCAAAGCTAGCCATGGATTTGTCTTTCATAACATTTTTGTCTTGTGAGATTAGGTACCGTCAATTTGAAAGTTTCAGTTGAAAATGCAACGATCAAAGATAAACTTTTAAAAATCCATAGCTGTCTTCGATAATGTTTTTATCGCTCTCTCGGTATTTATTTTCTACATTGTTGACATTTATTTTGTGAAAAGTGAGAAAAATTCTTTTCTAGAGTCATTTTCAGTGATCCCATAAAACTAATTGTTTCTTGTTAAGCATCTACAAAGAGCGAAGCTAAATCTCTCGCCACATAGTAATTTAAAATTACATACATAAGTACACACTATTCAAAAATAGTGAATTTCAAACTTTATAAATACTGAGCGGTTATAAATCAACTAAAATTAACCACTTTGGTTATGAAAAACATCACAGGAATGCGTGTAATAACCAATTGCAAGTCAAAGTAAATATGTATAAAAGTAATAATAATAATAATAATAATAATTAAGTAAGCCGATATGAAATAACTGAGTATCTTGAATGAAAAAGGCCTAAAACAATTAATAACTATACATTTATTTTTTCAAAACTTGTTTTTATATAACATCAAAATAAAAAATTGATAAATAACAAACGAGTCTAACCGAACGAGTGTATTTCTATATGTAAGATATGTTTTTCTGTCGTGAATAACAAGAAATAAGCAAAATTAGCTGACTTGACCAATATCACGTTGCGAATGGGGGGGATTAATTGCACACATTCTTAAATTATATTGTGTCTGAAGTTTACAAGAATACATTATCTCAAATGTTTTGCCAACATTCAAATGTAGTTTCATAACACTGTAATTCATTACCACATTCTTTATCAGTTTAAATTGTACTGTAAAAAATAGCTAATTATTAAATATTCCACAGTACTGCTATCATTTACACTAATAAAAATTTATTACATGTAAGTGATTATCGTTACGTATTGATTTGGCATGTGGCACATTTTTACATTAAAAATTAAGACAGCATGAGTCAACTCTTCTATCACATTAAATCATGCAATTGGATAATAATCGATTTACCCTACAGGGTCGTCGACCGTTTACGTCAAGGGAAACGTGCTTTTGCGTCACATGGTTCTCAAAGAATTGTTACAATAATTCGTTACGTAAGCGTATGTGGAAAGGGCAATGCATGCTGACATATGGGTTTTAGGGAGTTCTAATTACTCTAATTTCTCTTTAAGGGGGTTTCTGCGATCTGTTAATTAATGTCAACGCTTTTCTACACACTTTTGGTAGTGGCATTAGTGAACACTTACCAACAACAATAGTTAACATAGTAACAGACGGAAGCACGCCTGTTCTCATAACATGCGCGTCTAAATCAAAACGACACACCTCCAGAAATAACTGTTCAAGCGTCGTCGCCATTTTTAAAATCCATAACCTAGGGTTGCGACGTCGCGGCGAGTCGACTACGTAAGCTGTACGATTGGGTGCTTAACATGATTTAACGTCACGTTGTGCGTCAACATGTACATATTTTTGATTTGTTGTATTTGCTGGGTGAATTAAAAAAATATATTCGTTGATAAGCTGAATTAAATTTGAGTTCTTAGGATACCACAGAAACTGGCAAATTTACAGAGACTTATGTGCATGATCATGAATCTGATTCAACTGAAGCTGAATCGATACAATTACTACATTAAAATTAGATAACGTTATTCAACGCAAATATAAAAAAATGTTTGAAGTTGCAACTAGGTACTTATGAAAATTTAAAATAATAAGTTTTATGCTAATCTATCTAAAAATAATTTAAAATATGAAACACTGGTTTATTTTAAATAAATAAATAAATAAATAAACCTTTATTTTCTACAGGCCTTATACCCAATTACAGAAAATATACCTACATTATTCATGCTAGTTAAATGATTCGTCGAAATGACTTAAAATTAAAATAAAAAGAAGAGAAAAAAAATTAACAAACATAAATTAAGTTAACCTCCATTGTCCAAATAAACTATGATGTGGTGTCTAATTTCGTCGTGTCGCAGTTGCTTGGAATCTTATTGAAATTATTGCATTCAATGGTGACTTGCATAAAATATTTGTTCTCCAGGATTGTGGATAAAATGTAAAAACTTGATGAGCATGATGAGTTCTGGGGACTAAAAAGTTGATCTTTTCTAGAGCGATGTGCAGTCTACACGATTGTTCAAAAGTTTCCATAAAAACAAAGTGCCGCATGATATTCTACGGGTTTTGAGTGATGTGAACTATATCTTTGAAATAACAAGGCATGATGGGGGATATGTCCCATCAACAATATAACTTAAAAACTTCAGAAATTTCCTCTGAACAGATTCAACATGAGTAATATGTATTTCGTAAATCGGAGACCATACGCAC